GTGTGAGCACACACACAAACAAACTCCCAGTCAGGGTGTGTGTGTGTGTGTGTGTGTGTGTGTGTGTGTGTGTGTGTGTGTGTGTGTGTGTGTGTGTGTGTGTGTGTGTGTGTGTGTGTGTGTGTGTGTTGGGTTTCGCTGTGTCTCGCTGTCTCGCAGACAGCCACTGGGATCATAGGGGGCAGGAGCTCCAACAAGCCGTTCAGGACAGAGAGTGAATACACATACTATACAGAGATGCTGTATGAGAAGCCAATGTGATTTTGGAAAATTGCACAATTTAAATCTATTTGAGTAGACCTCAACAATGGAATTATGATCAGTAGAAATGGCCGTGACATGGGACCTTTAAACATTCATTGTAATCCTGGTAGCATTGATTTATTACATTCGTGAGCTCGATGCAACATCATTTCAGTCTGCTGCTTGAAGTAGTCAAAACGTGTTTGGTATATTTTGCGTATGTAATGTGAAACAGTCCGAAAGAACCACAAATGTCAGGTAGAAAATGTTCAAGTCCAAATAAGGTAGCAGGTAATATTCATTGCTTAGATCCTAGATACAACTAAGTATTTCCAAATGTGAGCAGATTTGCAAAAGGAAACAAAACAAATGATTTAAATACATAGTGTATACTGTACATGCTGTATATTGCATACCCCCAGTTTGTAAAATCTGACAACTATGTTAGACTTAATTCACAGTAAATTAGATAATCTACCTTTCCAGAGAAGCATATTATTTGCTCTTTGTAGATATGGAAATGCTTATATTAAGAATTTCTTTCAGTTTTTAATATTATCTTTCTCTCTGCAGGTATTCTTCGCATCGGTGCGTTCGGGAGGTAGCAGCCAAGTCTTCTTCATGACCCTCAACAGAAACACCATGATGAATTGGTGATGCCCCCCCCCCAATCCACTCTGCCTCACTCTCCCATTGGCCTGCCCGGCGACTACCAGTTGTCCCACGGCACATCTCACAACAACAAAAAAAACAGACTGACCGAGAGAGGCCACAGTGAACTCTTTTAACACTGAAGTGACTCGAACCGCTTAGAGAAAAAAAAAGTAATCGTAGAGAAAAAACCACAGAGACATGTTCTAAATGAAGAGACATGTTACCCTAGATTATTTTGGGTTATGCAGAAGCCATCGTTACTCAACTGACTGGCAAACTGGTGCCACTGACTCTCCAAATACCCTCTGTCTGTGTCTGTAACTCTTCCATTTGTGTCTTTTCTCCAAACAAACCTCTTCATTACAGCAGCTGGAGAAATACACTTTACACCATCCGTGTCTCCTCCCTTCGTCCCTAATACTTTAGACTCCTCCCACCATCGATTTAATCCTCACTTTTTGAGTCCTTTTGACACCCGTGTCCTCCATTTTCCACACTTCCTATCTGCCATGTGTGGGCTCATTCCTGGAGATCTTACACCTCAGAGGTCGGGGGAATAGACGAATTGGATTCAATATAAATTCAAATATAGTGAATATGACAGTTTGTGCAGTGAGGGCAGCTGAGAGATGACAAAATCGACTCTGGATGTTAGCGGTGAAAAGCAGACAGCATGATTGATTTTCTTAGTCCTTTGTCACTCCCCTCCGCCTCCTCTTCTTCCTCCTCTCGCCGTCTTTTCAGGCCTTGAGTAAATTTGTAATTTAGTGTTCGATCGCATCTCGCTGATAGAGATGCGGTGAGACAATCTGCTGTCATAGGCGGGTGGTCACAGTATGCAAAGATGATGTCCGTGTCCCTTTAAAAAGAAATCACCGGTCCATCCTGTTCCCCCCCCATCCCTCCATCCCCCTAGTTTCACAATGTTGTTAAACTCTGAAGGTGCTGCATCAAAAATACTGTAATATTAAATGAACAATGATAGCGTCATTCTGTTCATTCTTTTTATTTCAGTTCTTTTTCTTTTTCTGTGGCTAAGTCAGTCGGTTTTTGAAGATCAAATGTATAGCACATCCGTGTTTCTGAAATCAGGAGTGTATGTTGGTGTGTGTGTGTGCATAAATGTATGTGTGTGTTTGACTTTGATGTCGAAACGAGTCCCATTAAAAATCAAGGTTGGATATTGACATCAATGGCCAGAAAAAGATTCATAAATTCAGTCTCTGTACGTGAACTTTTACCTGAAGGCGATCAAAGCAACATTGAGTGTGTTTACAAGCAGAGTTATGATATTATGTTAGTATGACGTTCATGAGGGAGTGTCTGAGCACCAAGCATTTAAAGATAGGCACTATTAGTGAGTGTTTTTCTGTTTCCTTTAACACAGTAGTGTTTTGGCTACTCACAAACACAGCCATGCTGCTGTAGGGAATATGAAGATCCTAAATACAACCTCATCAGGATATGAGCAACAATCCCCAGTACTGTGTGCATGTGAACGATCTAATTGTTGAAAGCTGTGGTGTCCTTTTGAATCATGCTCTTCCCTGATTGGTTCTTCTGATTTTGGCTCCTACCTGTTTGTACAGTGCCTAGCATGATGTAAGCAAAACAAAAAATGGAGGCCAAAAGATTATCGCTTGAGTTATAATTAATAATTGTATTGCCTTTACAGTTCATTTACACTGGGTTCTTGTGTGTTATTGGCTAACCTTAACACGTTACTGATGGTATGTGTCTCTTCTGAAGGAGATGTTAACACATTTAAGACTTAATTTATTCTTTGAAAGGAGTAACTACACATGGTACGATAAGAACATGTCATTTCTGAATGCTAAGTGTAGCTCAATCATTTATGCATACTGTATTAGATGTATAACACCATTGAGGGCCGACTCTATAGAGGTATCCCTCTATATTGGAGAAAAGTACCTGCTTACTCCTTAAAAAACGTAAAGTGACACGAAAAACTACTCATTCCCCAATGATGACCATTTAAACAAGTTATTTTCTGTTAACAATTTTTAAATGAAGCTATATTTTCAAAGACGTTTACATATCCACACGGTAGCTGTTCCTGTGCAGCTGCAAGTTAGGTTCACCAAACTGTGTTATGGGTAGCAGGCTAACATGTTAGCAATAAAGAGCCGAGCTGAACAAAACCATGTCTTCCCTGTGTGTGTGTGCACGCATGCATCTGTGTGTATGATTAAAAAGCAAGCGTGAATGGGGCATATTATCTGTGTTTGTCCATCACAGAATTCACTCTTCCCATTGGAAAAGGCTGACTGTCAGTACACTGAGGACTCTCCTTTCAAAGATGAAACCACTGTATTCTTTGTTTTGTTTATTTCTTGTTTTCTTTGTTTTGAAAGAGCATTACTAATGTCCTGTTTTGGGATTTATTTGTTTTGTAAAAGAGATGCTGTATGAGAGAAATAAATTAAACTAGAGCATTACGTTTACGCAGTTGTATTTTTTTTTGGATGTGTTTTGCAACGGTGTTCTCCTTTTTATCAGCTTCGGCCCTCAGACTTTGTCCATCCCTCAAGTATATCATTAACAGCAGGTTTGTGTGTGTGTGAGGGAGAGAAAAGAGTGTCCAAATGTCAATATTTCTACCAAATGTGTCATTTTGCACTCCATTATAATTTGCAATATACAGTATTATTATTATTGTCCATCGTTTACCAGTATGCAACACCACAAAGCCTAAAACCAGTGTTTCCCAAAAATAGAATCCAGATGGTCTCACTGTTTGGTCACTTTCACTCTAATTGTATTGCTTCCTTTCCTGCAATAATAATATGTGTGTTTGTGTATGGTAGATGATTTTGTTGTGTGGGACTTATTTCAGCACTTTAGATCTATGTGTGTGTATCTATACCGTATGTGTGCACGCATGTGTTGGTCGATTAGAGAGTGGACACAGCGTGATTGGGCATGCAGCTTTCATTGATCATTACCAGCCTGGCTGACACTCTGGACCCATCATGGAGTCGGGAAAGGTAAGACGATTCTTGACATAAGCACTCTTTACATGTATTCCATAAAATGCATATATATATTCTTCCTATTCGTTTGAAATCAGGTAAGCAAAATGTGCGTGCAGGCGGCTGATCTCACCATATTGCTGACATTTGAACCTTGAGGCTCTCGGACGGTTACATTTACCACCGAGACCTGAGGAAAACAACCAGCTCTTTATTCATAGTTGTGTTGTGTGTTTGCCTTATCATATAAGAGATTATAATGAATGAATACTTATGACTCTGCCATGAGAATATCAAAGGAATGTATAACACAAGCTTAGCGTTTAATCTGGGCATTATGTCACTTTTAAATATGAGAATTATTATGATTCTGGGATTCATGATGGTAAATAAAGCACTAGATGCATCTTATCGATTAAGTATTTTTTACTTATATGCACTTTTGTTTGTGACCGTTAACTACTGACTCACGCTCTTGCTTGTGTGCATGTTACATAGTGTGTTTGTTTGTGCATTCATGTGTGTGTGTGTTCTTATCTTAATGGTTCCTCTGCTCCTGCAGCAGCTAACAGGTACATTGGCTCTGGCTGTGTTCACTGCAGTTCTTGGGTCCCTGCAGTATGGATACAGTCTTGGAGTTATCAACGCACCCCAGAAGGTAGGCTCCACTGTCACACAGGCTTGGCTCCCTTATGGTAGATGGACTTACCATCTAATTGCATGCAAATCTCGAGGTATGAACAAACTTACCCCGCCCTGCCAGTTGCCATAAAATATCATCTATGTAAGCACTTTTCTGCAGCACTGGAGATGCATGTCATACTCTCGGAGACCACGGAACAGAAATTATTGACTGGTTGTCTAGAAAAAGCAACTTATCCCAAAACGTTTTCTTGCCTGGTCATTAGGTATTTGTTTCATCAGAAGTTTTGCAAGCTGTCCAATATTCTCAGGCCAGTAATGAGTAGGACTTTGCCTCTGACAGACAAGTCATAATGTCTCTCTGCTGCTCGCTGCTGGCACGGGCATCCACAGATTTATGCAACATTTTATTGGGACAGGGGTTATTTGTATTGTGTTTCTTATTATGTTTCATAAGGACAATTTCCTAACATGAAGTTATATGGCAATAAAGTACATTTTCTAACGTAGCATAGAACGCATAGGCCTAACACTGGCTCTAAGGAGGTAATTTTGCATTCTTATGTTATCTGACGGCCACCTTATCTCTCCTATTGACTTGTTAAACTGTAGTAATGGCAACTACCGCCTGAATATTGTTGCCCCTTAAGCAGTGTTATAATAAGGATGGCACCTAAAAGAGGCATATTTCCTGAAAGATATCATGACAGAATGAGCAGAATGGTCATTAGTTGGCATGCTAGATGTTGCAAAATCCTCCGCACTGTCCTTTTAAATATCGTCTTCTTTATTTAAACGTAAGGTTGCATAGTGAAAGTTGCTACTATGCATATTTATAAATGACATTTTATCAGAATGGTTTTTGTGTTTGCATTTTCATCTGTCTTTGTGCATATTCCAGTGTGATTGTACCTATTGATGTCCCCTAAATATATCCGTGTCATAGGTAATTGAAAATTATTATGGACGTACTCTGGGGGTGTGGTCAGAGAGGGCCGCGGTCCTCTCAGAAAACAGCACCGAAGAAGAAGAGTACCCAGAGGCGGGACGACACCCTGCCGTGATCATGTATTGGTCACTGTCGGTGGCAATCTTCTCCATCGGAGGCATGCTATCCTCCTTCCTGGTGGGATTTGTGGGAGACCTGAGAGGGAGGTGAGAAAGGATAAATAAAGAATATGGACACACTAAATGAAAAGATGAAAGTGGTGGGGAAAAAAGGTAAAATAATAATGAATTATAGAGTGATTAGAGTAATCAGAGCAAATGGTATCTTGAAAATACTTTTAAAAAGGTTCAAAATGAACCAGCATCATTAAGGAAATTTGCCATGCTGCAAATATAATAATAATAATAAATTATATTTCAATAGTGCTTTTCTTGAACCCAAATATGCTTATATTATACATATCTATAAACTGTCTTTTTGTCTTTTTGTTTTGCAGGGTAAAGGGCATGTTGATGGTGAATGTATTTGCAGTAGCAGCAGGATTGCTGATGGGTCTTTGCAAGATGTGGAAACCTCACATCATGGTCATCTCCGGCCGTGCTGTCATGGGCTTTTACTGTGGTACAGCAAATCACACATAGAATCCTCAAATTGATACTCATATCATTAATTTGGATATCCCAATGTCTTCGATAGGTTATATAAAAGGAAATTAACAACGGTTATATTGTCATATATCCAACAGTGAATGTTTGTTTAAAGTCCTCATGATGGGTATCTTTCAGGGTTGACATCCGGGCTAGTGCCTATGTACATTGGAGAGATTGCACCTAAGGCTTACAGAGGGGCTCTGGGGACATTACACCAGCTGGCTATAGTCACTGGCATCCTACTCAGCCAGGTGAGGTGCACTAACACACAAAGAAAACATATGATCAGCACACAACATGCTTGATGTCTTTGTGAACACATAACCTAAACTGTTTGTTTGTGAATGCAGGTATTAGGCTTGGACTTTATACTTGGTAATGATGCAATGTGGCCCCTGATGCTTGGTCTGTCTGGAGCTCCAGCATTGTTACAATCTTTACTGCTGCCTCTATGCCCTGAGAGTCCACGGTACCTTTACATCGTACAGGGCAAGGAGCAAGAGGCCCGAAAAAGTAAGAGTTACTCTCACAGCACCTCTCTACTGTATGTTATCCTTTTTCTCTGCCTAGTGCTCTCTTATTGAAACACCAACTCAATAATTCAGAAACAGGATAGGCCTATAGGCTTCACAAGATACTTTAAAGCAGTTTGGGAAATATGCTTGCTCACCTTCCTGCACAGTTAGATCAGAAAATCAATAGCTTCCACTCCTATATTTGACTTTTGGATACAGCCAGCTGCCAGTTAGCTTAGCTTAGCTCTTAGACTGGTATTAGGAGTCAAACAGTGAACCATGGCTTTGTCCAAAGGTAACCGTAACTTAAACAAACAGGAAATATTAAGTTACAGTACACCATGTTCTTTTAGAGGTGCAGGTATTTCAATTTGTTACCTTTAGATAAAGCCAGGCTATCTATTTCCAGTCTTTTAGCTAAGCTAACCAGCTAGCTTTATTTTTTATATTTACTGCACAGATATGAGATAGCTATAGTTATTTTCAACTAACAAATAAGTGTATATCCCACAATGCTATTCCCTTAAGTACATTTTACTGACACTATTTTCATAATTGTACTTAATTCGAAAGATAAATGTAATGGATGATCCTTTGGTGCTTCTACATTCAGTTGTTTATGCATAGCTCATGTCTCCCTTCACTCTACGTTGTGTTGCAGGTCTGTTACGTCTGAAGGGAGAATATGATCCAACTCCTGATCTGGAAGAGATGAGGAGAGAGAAAGAGGAAGCAGACAAGGAGCCAAGGGTCTCTATCATTTCTTTGGTAAGTGTCTTAGAGGGTCACTTCAAATATAAAGAATTGTCACATCTACTACAGTATCTCTTTTGAATTGGACTTTCCTTTAAGTAAAAATAGCCGATAAACTCCCCGAGCCACAAAAACGTATTTAAATGTTTTTACTTTAACTTTCTGCTCTATATTTCATCTTTCCAGATCCTGTCTAAATTAATTAGTTCTAAATAGTGTCAATCAGATCAGTGGTCAGCTCCCATGTGAAACCAAAATATATCTGCAATCACAAAAGCATATAAAAAAACATAATTCCTGCCTGACAGCAGAAAAATAAAAAAATGATGTTGTTTGAAATTGCTCTGCTTTTGCATTACATTACATTTCATACCGATTACAGGGACATTCCCTCTGGAGTAACTAAGGGCTAAGTGCCTTACTCAAGGGCACACTAGTGGTGGTGTTCCAGGCGGGATTTGAACCTTCTGATCTCCAGCCCACCTCACTATCCATTAGACCACCACTATCCCAATATCCCATATGCAGAAGAACAGCGAAAGATAGGACAAGAAATCTACATCTGATCGTGACTTGTACAATTATTTTGTGCATACTAGTCGTGCACTTTAAAAAAAAACGTTTGCAGTAACAATATGTTAGCCTATCTGTTCTGTATTCCCTCCCAGATCCGCTCGTCCGTGTACAGACAGCAGCTTGTTGTTGCCCTCATGATGCACCTCTCCCAACAGTTTTCTGGCATCAATGCGGTGAGTGGCAAACTTTTAAATATGTCTAAAAATGTATAACACGAGTATGAGATAGTATGAGATCTGTGTTGCTCTGTATGAGTGTAAGATATATTACTTTCCACAAACAACCTGCCACTCTTTGTAATAACTGAAAACCTATACTTGTTTTGTCTTCAAGATATTTTATTACTCCACGGCTATCTTCACTCGGGCAGGTGTCGGTCAGCCGGTCTATGCAACCATAGGAGTTGGGGTTATCAACACAATCTTCACTATGGTGTCTGTGAGTAGCTGTATTAACATGTATACTGATGCACAACACATATGCACACACATATGGACATTACAAAATGAACATGCACTGGTATTCTCCTATTTTTTCTACACACCCAGACATATCACACATTTACACATGGATTAACACTGTACTTTGTGTTCTAGGTTGCACTGGTGGACAAGGCTGGCAGGCGCACTCTGACTCTGGTTGGTCTGGGAGGGATGTGCTGCTGTGCAATTGGCATGACAGTGGGGCTCAAACTCCAGGTTTGTTTATCAGGTGTCATATCTTTCATCTGTCAGCAACTGGAGCTGAACTTTAAGCCTCTTGGGTCCCAAGTAGCGATTTTAAGTGCATGTTTTTCTACTGTTCCTTGCCTGCATTGAATCAATTTGTTGTTTTCTTACTGAATGTCCACTTCCTAGTCTTGAGCTTTAAAGGTCACCTACTCTGCAAAATCCACTTGTTCATGTCTTTTATATATATTTGTGTAAAGAGATTCTGAAAGTTTCAGGAACAAAGATTCTCTCTCTTTTTGTCCTGATCCATTTCTATAAAAACCTGTCTGAAAATGAGGCTGATCAGATTTTGGCCAGCTTTAATGATGTCAGTAACGATTTTGGATTGTGTAAACATTAGTTACCTTATCACCTGAATCTCCCTCTAAGACAGCCATTGTGTTTCTTTTTAAAGCCCCTGTCACACGTCCACGAAATTGACGGCGCCATGGACACACCGATAACAAAGGAAGTGTTCAAATTCGGGTCTGATCGTAACAACATCGGGCCAATCTCGTCGAAGGGCATGCTAAAGCCATCGTATGACCACCCGGTGGAGTTTCTCAAGGCTCCGGCAGGCAACTTCGGTGGCAAATCTTTGGCATGCCAAAGAATTGGGGGGCCGAAGGACTTGCGAAGGTTCATTTTGTGTTGATTTGCTGTATCCTTTTGCCCTTCGTGAGGGGCACGTCAGAATTGTGTGTCATCTTCGCCCTTTGTCTTTACTTTCGTTTGATCTCGGTGCCAATCGGGTATTTTTCGCTTCACGAAGAAAATAGCAAGAAACAAGAAGGCTGCGCCGATTTGTCTATAGAGGGGACACACAGAATCGATGAAGCCAAATCAGCAAATGCCAGTTGATTAAGCAACATACGAATACCTATACGTAAAGAAAAAATACGTGACATCGAGATTTGGCATTTTATATTGGCACAACAAAATCATGCGGTAAACATTTATGGTAAATACACCCCAATTTGTGTTCTGTGAACTGAAAAGGATATTACATTGTTTTTGTTACTTTTCGTTGCAGTTATATGTGCTTAAATGTAATTTAGGTTAACTTCCTGTTTTATTAGATGCTTTTTTATTTGAAAGGCAAAGTTTACGGCTGTTGACGGAAGCTGTTGTTGGCTCATTGGGAGAACAACATGACGGAGATAAGTATATCTTCTAATCTACATGATACACACAGAGGAAGAAGTAAAGAATAAAGTGTATCGTTTAAATGTTAGAAGCCCCCCGAAGAGCGCACAAAGCTTTACGGTGAGTCTGGATAACATTCTAAATGCGATCCAGTAACAGTGCTACGACCATTCATTTTCGTGTGTGGTTCGGGTGCCAAATCGTGTGGGCTTCTGTAGCATCGTACTGGCTTCGGCTGTTGTTAGTTGTTGACCACCTTGCGGAGCGCATCTTCGTGCGAAAGTTCAAAATTTCCATATTCGTCGTGTCATCTGGTATCAATTTCGGGGCCAGTGTTAGAGGGGTTACCCAAATATCTCACAGAGGGGGCGCGTGGGGAGTGGCTCCTATTTTGCATCTAAAGTAAAGTACAGAGAATAAGCACTTTTGAAACAGAGCTCGGTTTAATGGGCCCACGCTACAATGCAGCGATCTGGTTTACGTGTTTGGAGGGCCAAAACACTTCCAGAGCATAGCTTGTCACCTCCCCGATTTTCGCGGGAGACTCCGCGATTTCATTGGCCCTCCCCTCCCCGGTTTCCTCCCGGGGGTCATCATTTCTGCCGCGATTTCTG